GAATGTTGAAAATAATGAACTGCTGACCGCTAAAATACACTTAGATTAGTATCATGGACTGACACAAAGTATTTAATAAAGAAAAGATTTTTTTGATTCCAGGTCTCTGCAAATCTTTAGTATCATTTGTAGCATTTTTACACAAGAAAGGTAAATATTTATTGCTCCATTCGCATTTATCTGCTGTGAAAATTACAAACGTTTTAAGTAAAAATGATCAGCTTCTTTTTTACAAAGCTAAAAGTGAACACCCATAAGTCCATTTTTTTCATTTTAAAGAGGATAAAAAATTACTTTAGTCACATTTTTAATGGCTGTAATTCACTCTGAAGGATTTTCTAATCTAGTCCAAACTCATATAAAATTGCGAAGATTTTCTTACTTGTAAGCCAATGTTTAACAGAAAGTGCTGTAGGGTTTCCAAAGACCTACCTAAAATATTTCGTTAACACTTTAAAATGTATTTAAGTAGAAAGGTAATGGTTTAATATGGTAAAATTTGCTGACTTAAAGGAATGTTATCAGTCTTATCCAAGCAGGACAGTACCTGAAGCATGATGCAATTATTTGTTTATTTATGGATGATAGACTAGGAAAATCATCTCATCAGCAGCACTTACTAACCTTCGGGTCGTCGTCCTTGCTAGTCGTTGTATCATCGTCTTCACTGTCGTCCGAATCACTTCCTGAATCCTTGTAATCTTCGTTTCCATAATAGGGATATCCGTCGTAACCATTGTCAAATTGTCTTTTATATGGAAGATCTTGGTGCGTTTCTTTGTGTTCCTCAACTGCAGGGACTTCAGCGACTTCAGAGCTTTTAGCAGACTTGGCCGATAACTTATTCCCTCTATCACCGCTCTTTGGTTTCTTTTTCTTGTGACTATGACAGCATTTCGTGGCGTAGGTGCAAAAGCTTATTAAAACGAGTCCGAGAATGGCAATCAGCATAATAATCGCAGCTGCCACTGGTCCAATGATGAAAATAACCTCTCGATTAGGGTTTTCTTGAGCCTCCTTGACGCCCTTATCGCCACCTCCAATGCTTTCAGGAAAGGTTTTTAATACGTCAAGGGGTAAATCCTTTCCGGAGATCGTGAGCACTCCTTTCACGTATTTCATCAAACGATCTTGATTCATGCCAAATTCATACGTCGTTTGCTTTGAGGTTTGGTTATATGTAGGAGTAAAGAAGACATTTAGTAGACCGCCGTTGATGCATTGCAATACATAATTCAGGATGACAGTGACAGAGCTCAGCACGGAGAGTTCCATTATCCTACGTAGGGAAATCAGGCAAAATTTAGGAAAACTAAGCCTTTGAATCCTGTTTTAGGAGAGAGAAAAGTGGTAACGAATCACATTACACTACTCATATAAAAAGATAAAGATACATTAAAGCAGCTTAGTTTTCAGCATGAAGGAAATACTTTATTTGAAGTCTATGCAAAGAATAGGTATCCTGTAGAACATGCTTTCTATAGAGGGAACTTGTTACAACCACATTAAACTCTAAACGTATGAAACAGACCTATTTTATTTCCTGCTATACCATCCACGAGAAATGTCAGTTTCAATGAGTGCACTACTTGGCATCGAGATATTCTAACTCAGAGAATAATACTGCCGCTGCTGTAAATTAACACTGGGGCATGTTGATGTAGCCCACAAATATTCGTCGGGATGAAATGATTAATAGGTGAAAACATGCCGGAAACACAATAAGGTACCTAAGGCTGTTAGAGCCAGACTTCAATGTTACGATGGCCATCATTGGCCCTTACATTAGGTGCCTGCAACATTGAAATTTTTACAATCATTTTCGCCCGACTTGCCATCGGCCTATTCTTTCAGTCTGTTAGCGTTTGAAACTTAAGCTGTATTTGTTAATTTTATTTCAGACTTCTCAAGTCTTTAGTATAATACCCCTCTGAGAGTCATCAAAACAAGTTACTTTAAGGCTCTTTTTTTGGGCTTTAATCACAGGGAAAATTTCAATCGCAAGAGGTTTTGGAAGCAAAATAGCGAGATTTTTGGTATTTGACCTACACAAGCGCTTGAGTGCAAGGTTTGGAAGCCACATCCGAAGTTATGGATATCACTTGCGATCTTCCTTTTAATTAAGGATGGGTCTTTATGGACATTTATACTTAAAAAATATCAAATCTCCATGTGTGCAAGATATTTTATGTGAGCTTTGTCAAAATCTGGTTGAAATGTAGCCGTAAAAATTTTACTCAGATGATGCGTCGCTTAAATGAAGGTTATCTTTGTTCAACAACAAAGGTGCATATTAAGGTCATTTTAAGGTCCTAACCAATCCTTTTTTACTCCCGAATGACTTGAGTTAATTAACTTTCAGATAAAAATTTTCAACATGACCTCATTTACCCAGAATAGTGTTTAACTATGTACACCATAATAAAACAAAAGTGCGATCTTGGTTTGAATGAAAACTTGAGAATATGCATAAAAATGGCAAATTTCTGAAATACCAAGCTTGAGGATATTCATGTTCACCAAAATAAAGTGTACCGCGAACTTACCTGAGCTAAGCGGTGAATTGGATGATCCAGTAAATAAGACGATTTAGCAAGATGAAAGCAGTATTATGCTCATCGGCTTTGCGCTACTATGGAAGAAGATTGGTACGAATGTGCTTTTACACCCGCACTTCAATCATTGCGGTGTGGTGGCTGAAGTAGCCACTTCATTGATTAGAACCAGTTCTGCACCGCTCATGGATTGCCGAATTCACACGTGAAATTTATGTGACACTGCATATTACTTGAGAAAGTAGGATTAATGTTCCGATTGCCTTGAGACTACGTCGTACTGCAGTTCATCATTATTTATAACTGTGATCAAATAACATACAGACTACATAGGGTATGGTGATAAATAACTTTATTGTATTTTATTCCATTTTAATTATAAGCCCACCTTTTAAAATGCCAGACATTAGGACATGTTAATTGTAGACTTTCTAAATTTCATTGGTACTACTATTTATTACTTTAAGATAACCAATGAAGTTTTTCTGAGGATGACTCTATTTTGAGTTTTTAAAAAGGGCACTTGCATGTTTTACCAGGGTCATTCAAATTAGTCAAAGGAGAAGTCGGGACGGTAATTTTCCCAGATGCGACACTTGTGAATGATTTTGGGGCATTCGGATACTTCACTAGGAACGGTCAGAATGGATTGCAGATGGAAAAGAGAGCACGATGAAGCCATCAAAGGTCTGAAGCAAATGATTAAATCCCCACCAATTCTAGTATTACTTCATGTCAGACCGGATACCTCTCCAATCTTTCTGGGCACCGACGCTAGCGATATCGCTGTGGGTGGTGTGCTCTCACCATAATTTGAAAAACGTTGGGAATGCATCATTACTTACTCGGGCGCCAAACTCGTTAAGCAGGTAAAAGAGATTGGTGCTACCAAAAGCAAACTCTTTAGCGGTCCGACATTTTAGACATTACCTGATAGCCGGTTAACTCATAGTGAGAACAGATAATCAGGCAGGTCAAAAATAGCCAGAGATAGACCCCTTAGTGGTGGGTTGGTACAAAAAAACTTACAGCATTATGATTTCATAGTACAATGTACATTATAATGAAGCTGTATTACTTCACAGACCAGACATAGTACAAACCGGTGGTGTTTCTGTGAATGTCACAAGTTTGAAAAATCAAAAAAATTCGCAAAGCACTAATCCTGATAGGCCTCCAGCAATCGAAGGGCTCCTCACACCCTCCTACTAAGCATCATCAAGAGAGATGTTATCAGTCATGGTGGTAAGATTGTTTATAACAGGAGTAGTCAAAATTAAAATCACAGCACCTGCTGTCCTAGTGACTTCAGGTCCATTAGAACAACTAATACGTCTTAATTTATGTAACCAATCGGGCCAAGTAGGAGAAGATGCTAGACACCTCGAGCTGATGGTAGTGATAAGCTTTTGATGCCCTAGATTTGAGCACTTTCTGCCAGATTTGGGTTATTTGAGACAAATCTAAAAGACCTCACCTCACAGCGATTGCCCTGCTTTAGCCTATGCCCACAGGGTTCCTAAGGCAGAAAGTAGGCATGGAAATTTTTCGACACTACCAGCTACAGAGGGGAAAGTGATACAGACTTTTAACCGTAGACTATTTCAAAAAGTGTCCGAGGCAGAAGTCTACTGCACCCAAGCTAATGAAACAGTTACGTCTGGTTTCTTCATTTGGTTAATTCGTCAAAACTGGGATCCTGACTCTGTGTATAGCAATTAAGGTATCAAATGTGGCAGTCCACTTGGACTGCACTTTGTAAAACTTTTGGACTTGTAAAGACCCACGTCACAGGTCATTTGTAGGGTGATTACCAGACAGAAGGAACAGGCCGTCCTAGAACTAAGTTGTGTGGAGCTTATGCCAAGATCGTTCAGCTTTAAAAAAAATTTAGCAGTTAGTCTATTTGATCCTGAGTATCTTTATGTATATTCTTGCCAGACAAATTTTTATCCACGTTGGCGAACACCCATCCGTATTCTACATAGGACAAAAGACGAGACATTAAGAGAAGCCGGCTTAAAGTCTATCATGAAGGAGTCCTAGGGCAGTTCTGTTACGGATTCACTTTAACCCCAGAGTATGACGCAAATCCCGCCACTCTAGAAGCAAAGATGCATTCCAAGTGATACTGATTATTTCATTAACAACTTGGTCTACAGTAGCGGGTGTGTACAACCGATAGCGATCCATCGAAATAAATTATATTCTTGTAAAGGTACACCACCAGTTGGATACGGGGGGGGCGATTGAAACGGTAACTAAGGGTAGAAGTCGACCAAAAGTGGCGTGCGAGGAAACAAGCTCTAGGAGGAGCAATGGGGATAATGCTTAAAACGACGGAGGAACTAGGTAACTCATACTTATTTGAATACGCTTTTCGGTTGGTGGTAGATCAGCCTCATAAACAAGAAGGCGTTTTTAATCCTTAAGGAAGAGACAAACCTTAAATTCTCGCAGAGCTTAAATCGGCTGCACAATTCCACTTTTCTAAGCTACATAGTGCCTACATCTAACCAACCTTCTCTATTCGAGAGTTTAAAGTGGGAGGTGGGAGAGGAATTTCGAGAAAACTATAATAACTTTGTAAGCATCATTAGGCACCGCTTGACAAAACAGACTGATGCGAGACGGGCAGCAGAATTGGTAGTAGCAGTGGCAAATACCTTTACCTCACGTTCCGCATTTGAGCCAGTGGTGAAACACGCAGAGAAGTAGATAAATCAAAATAGGTAATAAAGTATCTGTACATTGAATTTTGAGTAAAATTTGAAGATTTGGTGCTTCTCTGTCCGTCAAAAGCCCAAAAATATTTCTTATGTATGGTTAGATTCGATAAAGAGTAGTAGGAAATTAAAATAAGGCCAAAAGAAAAAGGATTAGCTTTATAAGTCGGGTGTTTTATCTCTTTAGTACCTCTTTCTGGTAAAGCAAATATTGCATATAATTTTAAAGGTTTAGCACATTTCCTCAACTGCGGGAGACATTTTTTCTTTGGATTTACACAATTTTCTTTCCCGTTCCGCAGGCAACTTCAATTTTCCAAGGTAATAGCCCACGTGATGTCGTGAGAGGAATAACTCGCATGATGAGACTAGGTTTACCAACACCTCTTCTATGCACCGTTAAATGTCGGTAAATGATGCTAATGGATGCATGGAGAAGCGGGATTATCCAAAACGATGAATAACGCAAAGTTGATTGAAATAAAACATGCAGCCGTACTTGGTGAAGATTATTGCTGGAAAGACGATGACGGACAAGAAAATGGGGATAAAACGATTATGGAGTAGTGGAATATATGCAAGTGTGGAAGGAAACGTGGAAGGGGCTGGAAACTGGCCTCTAGATGAATTTACTATTCCGATCTAATCGCCACATCCAGTACCAGTTAAAACACATTTTTGGGATTTGCATCAAACCAAAAAGATGGATAACCGCAAGTCGGAAGATTAATTTGGAACCCCATATTTTCTCCAGACAATTCATTTGAAACAAGGTGAGAGTTAAGGTTGAAGAACCTCAATCCCGCACCAATGAATGAAAGCATTAAAATCTTACATCTATTTATTTATTTCACCAAATCGGATCCCTAGGACAAGTTAGACTGTAAATTTTGAAGTGATGCCGATGTATATTGCGCACTGCCACTTCAACTGTCTCACATGGTAAAAGTATAAGGAGAACATGGGATATTTTGACCCTGTCTTCTAGTTGAACCTTTTCCAAACACCCATTTGTGCGGATCTCATTCAAGTGTGTCAGTTAACGGATCATTTAATCTTCTAATTTTAAGGTAGAATTTTAAAATGAGTTTTACATGCGCAGTTCTCAAATCGAATGATTTCTGGGCTCTACTTGACCAAATAACTTTTTACTACTTGACACCGAATACATGGGAGTCTCTGTGCCTACGGTGATTATCATGACATTGTGGACGTAAAGATTCCCGACCAAATACTGGTTTTTGGCAACAAAAGAAAGTCAACTGAATGCGTCACATGTTGCATAGCAACTTGGTCACATCGGGTAAAGAATAAATCAAGCAGAGAAAGTAGAGTAACGGATTTAATTATTAAAAAGAACTGCAGTACAAATAAAATCCCCGATTAAATATCATGGTCAGAGATCTGGTGCTGTGACTCCTCTTCTTTCGTATCTGCTTTCAGTTTTTCTTCATCTTGTTTTGCCTCTATTCCCTCTTCTTCGTGCCGCTCTTGCTCTTGTTCTTGTTCTCCTTCCTGTTCCTTTTGTTCCTCGTAAAATTTAGATTGTGAATATCGCCTGCCACTCCTCGGCAGCGGCACAGGCTGATAACTGGAAGCTTCATGCTCCGAATTGTCATCACTTTCCGGGATTGAACCACTTAATCCCGAGAGTTCAGCAAACTTAAAGTCCCCAAGATCGAATCCACGTCGATCGGTATACTCGTAGATGGCTGGAATAGGTGCTGTCAGTCGGAAATTTTGCTGTTGCTGTGCCTGACCGGGAGGTATTTGGTAGTAGGGTGACGATGAGCTTTGCGTAGTTTGTGGCGCAGCATACCTGCCAGATGGCATGGAGACATATCGATTCTGTGAAGGTGAGGTGTGTGGTTGATATTGCTTGTAGTGGAGTCGTCGGAAGTGATGCGATTGTACAAAACCGAGGTAATATACATTAAAGCAAAGCAATGTTGTGATAATCACCGCAATTGCCAGTGTGTAGAACCAAGTGAACAGTCGGGCGACCTAAAAACGCGACGCATATTTCTGAGAGTGGTGAAAGATATAAAAGTGGAGTGTTAAGCTCTGAGAAAGAACTTGGTGCGTCTAATGAAGATTACCAAAAAATGGATTTAGATGTTTCGTAGACCATCTCCAAGAAAGGAGAAATAACGTGACAAGGCTTTTGAAGATCTCAACCTGTTATCATTGAGAGTGCAATAACACGGAAGTTTTTTCAACTGCATGACCATTGCCACCCTGTGCACTATTCCCACCAATGACGTCCTTCATTACCACAATTCCAACACCGCTGTCGTTTTGCATCATCACACAAATGGTTATGTATTACGTAATTGCGTAGGTTTTTAATGATGAAAGTAATTTTAATGTCGGTTGCATCGTAGTTTCTGACGCCGCCGCAAACTTCTACGACAATCCAATTGCCGAGTGCTCACTGACTCGTGACCAACCGTCGATTGTAAACTTTTGCTTGCTGACAATCAATGTTTAATAACTAACACTAAAAATTAAGTCAGACACCTTTTGTTGCCAATCGTTTTCTTCATATATTAGCTCTAAATGCTCAAATATGTTTCAGAAGAACAAACCGCTTTAACCACCATTTGCACCAATATACCGATATACCAGGTACCTAAATAAGCATGCTTGGTCTCCAACATCCAAAGTTAAACAATCACTTGAAGGTACTTGGAAAAGCTAGACATCAGAATAATCATCACTGCCACCGATAGTCAAAAGCCAGCCACGAATTCCGCCTATATCCCACATGAACCCTCTGTTCCACTACACATGACATTGTCTGATCACCTTTCTTCTGCCTACCTAAGGTACGAAATTCCTTACGGGTAAGTCATGCAGTATGAAGCATGAGATCATATGCAACCTTTGAGAATACTAGTAGTACTTTCTTCCCACTGGCTAAATAGTGGAATGGATTTGGTAGGAATTGGATAGATTGAGGATAACTAGTGGTTTGATTGTTCTCTTAACAGGGTTTGGGTTGAAATAAGCATTTCTTATCATAGATCAGTCAGTCATCCAGCTAGCCATCCGGTCAGCAAATAATCTGATGTTGGTATTCTTTGGATTTACAGAAATAAATAGAAAGTAAATAGATCAACTTCCATGCTCCTTACCATCAGTTAGTAAACGGTGTGTAAGCCGGATCCGTCTACTTCATTGCTCTCACGAGTTTCCCATTAGACAAAAGCGTGGTCCACCTGTTTTATCTTTTTATGTTAAATGTAAGTAGACTTAACCCGATTTCACGCATCGATCCTTAAAAGATCCATTACTAGAATTATATCTCTTACTTGAACAATTTGTGAGCCTTATAGAGCGGGCTAAGCATATCACACCATCTTCAAATTCCGCACTACGCCCATTGGGAGGAGCTACTCCTAGTCAAGTAGAAAAGATAAAACCACGATTTTTTAACGAATTGATTAAATGGCCCTCTATAAAATGGAAACTGTGTCAATTAATCTGGAGCAAATGCAGTAAAATATGCCCTTCTGAACCTTAGTGAGTTCTTCATTGCGTTGATCGGATAAGGGAACCACTGACAACAATCGCGAAAGCGGTGTTCTGAGAAGTTCGTTCCTTTGCCAGATAATTAATTTGAAGACTTGAGAGAATTTTTGAGTAGAACTAAGCTATACAAATCACTACAAATTGCCATATTTGGATAATATCACACAAAGAAGAAGTATCCTTGATTTGAGTAAATTGCTTCATTTTTAGAAACGAATCCTTCCTATTGCAAATGAAGACGCCATCCACTGAGCACGAGTTCCGCGTTGTCAGCACCTTGCAGTAAAGTAAATCAAGGTGATTGGCGTCACATTCAAACCTTTTACTGTTTAACACGCTGAGCTGTCATGTTCTCTTCAAACAAATCGGAGTACTAAGATTAAAACTTTGTGGATGAGCTGTCAGTACCAGTTATTTTAACATCTATACTAGACGCTGGATATTATCCCTCCGTGAGTGCAAGGCGTATCTGACCGCCAAAAAGAGGAAATAGCAATAGGCTATGGTCATCGTTAAGTGAAATGGAAAGAAAGTAGCAAAACAGAGCAATTAGTGAAGATCTAGTAATTTTCCTGGAGGAAATTCCTCAGACAGATTTTAAGTCTATATTCCACTTTACTTCATTCATTCATTTGCTAGCTCCCCGATTTAGTTATCAATATGACAAAACAGGAAGTGAACAAACACGTTACAAAGAAGTGCTTAACTTCCTTTTAGCAATGAATCAATCTTTATCTAGGTGGTTCATTCTCCTCGAGGTTGAAATGGTTGCGTTCGTTTCAAGTACGATCTTTTTGGGGCCCCGACATATGGAGTGCCCAGAGAAAATACTGTGCTCGCAATAGTGTGAATGCAAGCCAGAGGTTCTACCTTAGCTTTAAAAGCACTCAATGTTAAGCTACAAATAAGTATTCTACAGTCAAGACGTGAATTTCCCCTTTCAGCATAAGAGGGGTATTTTTAGACAGCTACAAGCGAATTTCATCGACCGTCGAGGCAATGACGCACTTAAATACAAAGCCCTCCTTCCAAATGTTGGACAAGCTACGCAGAGGAAGATACCAACGACACGGACACTTGGGGTCACAGTTAGTCGGAGTCCATTAACATGCCCTCGACCAGTTTCAGAAAGATGTGGCGCGCCAATCGTTTTATCGTGGAGTTACAAATGTGTGAGATGCATTCTTTAACAGTCTGGGATTACTGAATGGACCGCATAATGACGCAAATGGATTGGTCAAGCTTGAATATTCAAAGCAGGTGTAGAGGGTCCAGAGGCTGAGGATAATCGTGTTCTGGTTTTTGAGCAGTGTCGGTGGTGCAGGGGGTGGTAAGATAACTGAGCTGTGTTGGCTAATTTTATTCTGAGTCAGACCCTAACACTGACCCTCTTAAATGGAATATTTGATAGCCATGCTCACAAATAGAAGACAGGCGTCAAGAAAACATTTTGCATCTTTTGGAATCAGAAATGGAGTTAATTGGGCGGTGTTGCTGTTTTGTGGTTCTCAAAAGGGTTATTGGATTATGCACTTCACCACCCGAATCACCTTCTCTGAACAAACGCTAATTGTTGCACCACCTTGCAAGAAACGACCTAGAGACACATGTGATGAAGTCGCACAACTACTACGCGGTGCAGCACGCAATACAACCACTTAGATACTTGAAAATTTCACCCGAAATTTGTTATTTACAAGTTGTTGTAGTTCAATCTCCAGTGTTATTCGTCGTCAAAGCTCGTAGAAGATGAACAGCTAAAAGATGTTAAAAGAAACTTTAAGATTTCCTACCCACAGACGTACCCCCCCATTTTGTCGGCAGACCATGGTCAACAGAGCATCGGAGGCTGCGTATAGTTGAGAACAAGGAAAGAGACCTTGCACAAATGTCTCGATCACTGAAGTGAGATTGACATTAAGATCCACCTTGAACGCATTTACCAACTGCCAATAGACTTGAGATACTGGAGCAAGGAGGGCTGTATTATTGTTGAAAATCTAAAAGTTGAGAAAAAAGAAACTTTGATTTATTTGCATTCGCGTCGCAGGCATTTCGAAGCATAATTAAACTTGGGTGAGAACTAAGGGGCTTTGAATTTACTCGATGCTAAAGAGTTGCGTGGCTTAAAATTGAATTCGTGCTCCTCACCACGGTCGAAAATGCTTTTTCCAAGATAAATAAAGAAAATTCATTACCCTTAGTTGATCCTGGATTCGTCAATATGGGACGCATAACGTAAAAGAGAGATCGCTATAGCTAACTAATGACTGGTATAATACTCTCCGGTTTGATAATTTGGAGTTAGGCATTAGTAATGTGGGATAATATTGCTGGAAAATAAGAATAGTGAGGAACAGCACCGATAATCTAAGTCAAAAGATTGACGAACGAGATCACGCATCTGGCCAAACATGCTTTAAGACCATGCTTAATCTTTTGGCTTCTACCCTCTAGCTCTTCCGACCTTGCATGTTTGGTGTCCAGTCGGGGGAAGCACCAAAATGTAAAAGTAAGCCATTAATGGTTAGTAGCAAGGATGAAAATACAGGTGATGATGTAGAAGACACGTAATAATCCTAGACAAAATTCCTTCTAAAAAGGTGAAGTACAGGGAGCTACTTCTATAAAGTAATGGAACGGTTCTTGAATGCACAGTTTAACATTCTTGAAAGAAAAAAGTATGGCAATAATTTGGTTGTTGTTCCACGATCATTGTACTTTTGCCCGGTGATATGGTCTTTGGGCCACTCTCTCCGCAGGCAGTAAACATTCTATCCTAGGCTGGGAGTGCTTCATTGGCGGCAGCGGAAAGGACAACTACCCTGATTTCGATTACTGAATGGTAAACCTCAACGTGACGGAAGAAAGGCTTATGTTGCCATGGAAGAATCCGTGATGACCTCTAACAAAAGGGTTGAAAATTACGTCCACCTGCAAATACCCAAGTCCTGCGTTCTATAAGAGTGTTATAAGTAGATGAAGCGACGCTAGCCGTGAAAAATCTGGAAGGTTTCATTACGAGAAGTCTACGGTACTTGTATGAAGATGTCAATGAAGTGACTACAAGATACTTTCATTACATCTACCTGCCAAAAAGAATATAGACAAACATGTCGCTGGGCTACACTGAAGCGGTAACGAAGTGGCAAGGAGGAACAAACGCGAAATTTTATACTCAGGTAAATATTTCATACACCGTCTTTGATAAATAACTCTGCATTTAACCGGTGTTCCTATGACCAGCGATGGACATACGCAATGGTTCGCACATTCCTTCTTCCCAAATGGGTCCAGATTCAATGGAATTGCCAGGAAGGATCAGTGGTATTGCGATCAAATATCTTCTCAATCACGCGCGAATTTGACGACTGGTGCGATTGGTTCGTGGGTGTTTATCTTACAGCATCAATTGCGTTGCGATGCCCGACACAAGAATTTGACTAAGGGGAGTGTTAGGGACGGCGCCCAAAGAAACAGCAAAGATGCGTCATGCTTTGTTTTTTCAAATCTTGGCTTTAATTATATGGGTGCTGAAGGCCAAAGCTATTGTACGTAGCCTGATGGTATAGTCTCCAAGCCATACCAGCAGCCCCAGCCCTTCTGAACGTCGATATCACGTAATCTGTCCAAATATTACTCCATTCATCTCTAAGGGAGTCTTGAAGTGCAGCAGTATTCTTTGCAGATGCTTCACGCAAGTTGTTATCGCACGAAATTTGTTGACAGTAATCTAACAGTAAAAGGTAAGACTGTATTTTACTCTCTTTAAGCCGTAACCTTCTGAGAGATCCTAGTTTAACAACAGAGTCCACTTCGAGATGGTTCATACCTTTATACCATGAGCTTTTAAAATTTCACGCAGAAGTGTAAGAAAAATCCAAGAAGACATTTTAAAAATGAATTTAATGTCCTGAATTTGGTTCTGCACAAAATTCAGCTTATCCGGTAAACAATTGGAAAAGATAATTTTGAAACGGCATTATCACCATTTCTGGTTACGTATTCCCTAAAAGTAGTAGCCACTTTGAACAACCATTTTTTGTAGTAGACTTTTTTTCTCAATTTTTTGTGAAAAAGAATGCTTAAGGCTCTACTAGAGGCTGTGCTAAAGGGGACTTAAAAAACTGATGCATTGTGGGTTAATCTAAAACTGCTCTTGATACGTTGGCCGCCGCTACATGGGAGACATTTAGCCAGGGAAAACAAATTCCACTGTTGAATAAAAAGAGCTGCTAATATTTTTGCTTTTTCTTATTTAAAATACAAAAACGAGCTAAATGCTAGGTCTCGAAACGTTAGTTAGGCATGAAGAGTTTATATCACAAGCATGCAAGCCGACTGAATTTGATCTCTGCAGGTGCCTAAGGCTTTCGCAAATCCAACATAGAGGTAAATCAACTCGGCTTCTCGTAATTCTATGTGGATGTAGGAAAGTGGGAAGCTTTTTGAGACCATCAAGTCCATTTATTATGGATTTTATAAATATTCGTCTTGCAGTATCGGCCATGCAATGGACTCCTAATCATTTTGAATGCATTTGGACAAGACCTAGAATCAAAGCCGGGACCTAGATGCCGGCGTACCTTACCTGAAACTACCATCATCACTATTCGTCTTCTCATTTATAATTTAGACAACAACACTGTTAACAGGCTAGACGCCGTCTTTAATTTACTGCTGGGCCATGCAGTGCTTAAAATGAAACCAAACAAAATTTAAGGAAAAATAAGGTACAATCCGTGCTTAACCTACCACTTTAGTAGCGTTAATACCACCAACAAGGTAAGTTACACCGACAGTAAGATTGCGGCGAGTCTGAACGGCAATGAAGGCATCTCGCAAAAGCTTGACTTTGGCTTTCACTGCAATCAACTCCTTCAAACTTAAGCGGATCTGGCCTACAACCCTCTCCAGAACCTGACCCACAGACAAGCCCAGTCTGCGTATTTTTCGAACAAGGTCCTCAAGGTCGTCTGCAAAACTGGTTAAGTTTTGTTGTGGCAATCGGCTTGGCGAAAGCTCATCGATGGAGGACTGGAAGTAGATAAGTTGACATCTGTAAGCACATTCAAAAGGAGACAGTGGGTTGTAGGTAGTCCTACCTGATAGTTAATGTTGTCGAAGTACTGGGTCAGATTCTGCGCCGTGATCACGATTTTATCCAAGTCCTTTGGAATGAGACTAGCCAAATTCAGTTTGATGATCTCATTTTTAATTGTGCTGAAATAGATGCGGTACTTATTACTGCAAGTACCATATCAGCTATCGCAGATAAAACATTCGATACTTGACAGTCCCTTTCATTCATTGTGGATAATATTATCAGGATTTATATTGTCACAACCAATCCATGCAAGAAAAGGTGAAAAATTCAGGATAACTCCTTTCCAACCCGTGCAACCACTTACTTCTCCCCATTATTAATTTTATCTGTCACCTCCTTGGTACTTAAGAGGGCAGATATGTTGATTAAAGACCTCCATCCAACAGCTCCCAGGAGTCCCATCTGGGCACTACGTGTTTCTCTTCCACAGAGTACTGTTGTAGCGTTGATGATATTTGTGGGTGGCGGGAGTACGAGAAACCCATTAACCGAGCCTCTCATCAAAGTTTGCACTTGTCTTACCACTGATAGCCACAATTCAGAAGCCACAAAGGAGTTGAGCACGTAATCCGACTGCCCAACTCCACGCTGGTCCGTTAGGTAAGCACAACCATCGCTGACAAGGAGGACGCAGGTAGGTAGGGCAATGATAATGAAAATACTGGCCACAGTGAGGAAGACGGTGAAGAGGACGGCGTGAATGAGGCTGCAACGATTGCTGCAGACGTGTGATGAGGTGATAGCAACATTGCCATCTGAAGGAGATAAGGGCAGTCACGTTGACATTGAATGTGCAATTCAACACACATCTTCCAAAATCTTTTTTAATGCTAGTAAGACACCCGACGTGAATGCAGTCGGAGGATAAGCAAGTTGATTGTGCATTGGACTGGGTGGATCTTATCAGTCTCCAATGATTTGGGGAGCTACTTATGTGATGGGGGGTAATACTCATTTCACCCATATCAAGTCTCACGGGTCCTCTTACCTTCATTCTAAGAAAGAAACCCATTCTAAATAAAAAATCTCAGTTCTACAAGTTTGGAGAGGTGATTCTTCTGTCCTATCATCTTTCGTCTCTACCTTATTCGATTTTATCTTACTAAGCAGCTTTCTTCGATGGAGAAGACCAGAACAAATGTTCATCCAAATCAACGAGATCCTTAATCTAAACTAATGGAACACAAAAAGAGTCTAAACGAGGTTGTCATTCCAGATTGTGATTTCAGAGAACCCGCATTTCAAAGCGGAATGGCGAGTGACTGGTAGCTTCATTTATCGGCGTAAAGCATTTCGCAGATTGTCTGTGGAGTAAAATTTAGTTTAGTCTCATATTCGGACACGCGAACCTCTTCAGTCTTCCCTGGCTCGGCTATTACTCCTGCAGCATGGCATTATGGTCGTGTAATCCATTCTGGCAGGGTAGTTTTGGGGCTTTTGCATACAACTAACGCCTTAGAAAATAGCTATTAAGAATGCTCATAAACAGATCTGAAAGTTAACGGAGGTGCAGTTTTAACAGCACAACTCATAATTCAGTCAGCACTTTTGTCTTGAAGACGGAATCCAAGTAGCTCGATGCTTACTAGGAAACGAACACATAATATTTGCTGAATTATTCTTAGGCAACAGCTTTTCCAAAAATAAAAGCAACAGACAATAGTACAAACAACTCGGGCAAAAGCTTGGCGGTTTCGAATGCCCCAACTTTGCCTCTACATTATTTTTGAAATTGGGAAATAATGGTAGACTAGAGTGAGCCAGAACTCACCCATATAGAAGAGTTTTGTATTCTTAGCCTCCAGGACGTAGAGCACTGCAATGATTAAATATGCAAGAAGGATACCCAGAAAGATAGTAATCGGTATGTAGACCATGGCATATATATAGGGTCGAACAGTTCCGATGCCTTGCTCCACCTGTCCGGTAAGTTTAGTAAAAGTGACATTTAACGCCGTAGTTTCGTTTGCCACAGCGTTCCAAACTTGAATAAGCGAAGAAAAGAAGGAATGGAGGTCAAGTAAGGTGGCAACTTTGGCGAGAATTTGATCTTTAACCTCGAGGATCTTTGAAGTGAACTGACTAAATTGATCAAGGATCGCGGAGAGGTCTATTCCCAGCTGGGTGAAGACGAAATTCAACACTGCAGGCGGGTCAACTTTGATTGCGGAGGCGTTGAATTGAAGCAGGAGGATTGAAGTGCGGTTCTGAGAAAGTGGGAAGATTTGCCAACTTGAATTTGATTTTGACAAAATCACTCTGTAAATAAGCTACAATGACATGGTTCGTCAAACCTTACTCTGGCATTCTAATTGACAAGTTAGCGTACAATTTGGTAGAAGATTGAGTCAATTTTGAGCAGTGAGAGGCCTAACAATTCGTTATTTTTTTTGCTAGATTAGAAGGCACTTACAAAGATCATTTTACGAATAATTCTAAATTTAAACAAATTTAAAGACTGGAGCTTAACAAAAATTTCCACTTTTATTCTAAGCAAAGTGATCCCCTAATTCTGAGGTTTGTTCGAATTAGTTGTGTAAGCTGGAAACCGTCGCTAATTTCTCAATTTCGATTTGGTAAAAGTTAACCATGAAGCCCCAAATGTTTGCGAAATGTAGCTTGAACAATCCAGACACTTCATCTGACTGTAATCTGCCAAGAAACACAATGAGTGGGCATTTGGATGAGTATAAGATGGCCGAGAAGCTCCCCCTGTTTTCAACATAGCTTGCGGCAATTAATTCTTTAACTATTGGGAGATTTGTAAAGTAGAAGGTATCTGTCATTAACCAGCTATCCCTTGCTCTACGTCAAACGACATATCATACGGCTGCTTTAGTTTGTTCCACTGCACGTCAACAATTGTGATTACTCCTGGCGCAAACACTGGTAAGGATTGTGACAGCTTTTTAAGAACAGTAGGGAAATGACGCTCTTTCGAATAATTGTTCTTTCAAAGCAGATGCTGTTGTTAAAAGGCACGTGACCAAAAGTGGAGGCAATAACCGTCCCACCGAAATTCCATTTTTTGGGTAATTTGAGAGCCATACAAATGGGTGACAAAGCCCCTCACGTCGTATTGGTCAATACAATGAACTGTTTTAACTGTTGAATGCCTGCCAAAGTCCGTATACATTAGGCAAAGGTAGACGTCAGTCCATCAATGAGTTGCTCCGTGTTGTTTTCTACTACTTTTCTGTTGTTCTGAGCTTTCGCATTATTACATGTCGGTTGAATAAATCTCAAATGACTCCAGTCTGTCTGCTTCACGGACGGGGTTTGGCCAGGTGTCAAAAGTTAGCTTACCCCAGTTTTTTGAATTAAATGTGATGAAGGTGCAATGTGTGGGAGCAGAATGTAAGGCAGACAAATGGTTGGAGTAAACAACGCAATGTATTGTGGTAAGAGAGAGTATTGGGAGTAAATACGTTAGCAAATAATCATTCCCGTTTTAGAGATCTAGAAGTTTCTTTTTGCAATTTAATTGTATAAACCTAGAACATTCCCAATTTGGGATCTCGTGGAGTTCACCTCACGGTCCAACATAATTTGGGAACACTCGATGTGCACTTCTAATCACGGTAAGTTCAAGGTCATCCAAACTACTATCAGCGCGTGAGAGTGGAACCTCTGTTTCCGGTAGGCCAACCAGGAATCACATGCACCCACGCCTTACCCCTCTTGCTTTCGCATACGCGTCGGCGGTTAAAGCCGTCCACATTGAAGTCTTTGTTACATGGAACTCGGATTGGGTGCTCAACAGAACCCAAGCTAGCCACCTACTGAGCTGTGAGGGCTATGAAGTAAACGGATTCCGCCCACTTTTCAGTCATTAACAGATGGTAAGAAGTGTGAAAGATTATCTATTTGCTTTTCATTTCTATCCCGTAAATGTTGGAGTGTTTGCTAACCGACCGACTGTCTAGTTGGCTTGTGAGGAGAAGTTATTCGTATCCCAAAGTTCGTTAAACGAACTAACATATAATGATTCAAATGACCCATTACCTCACTTTTCTAAGACAGCCACCACCTTGCCACTGGGAGACCTTGAGTGCTTAGCATGTGATGAGATCAAATGTATTTCCCATTGAAGATCAAACGACAATAACGGAAAAGGTCCAAGCACTTAGTAATTTGGAATGCGAGGGAGATATTGCACCACCTTTATCCGCATTCACCTCAAATAACTCCAAGGGACAATTGTGATTTTTTCTTTGCTTTCAGATAGTTAGAGAACAAGAGTTCAACGAAGAAGAGGATGGCTAGTAACAGGTCTTTGTTTTAGCTAGAAAGGATTGTAGATTGCAATGATGGCGAATTCTAACTGATTCGATTGCCTTTTATCCATTTTCAAATGTTATTTTATATCCTTAGTAGGTGCGGGCAACTGTGCTCCAATAAAAGGTGACGGTTTCTTAAAAAAATCTTCTACCTAATTTTAACAGGTGGCAATTCCATCTTAGCCAAGTATATGTCTGGTGATGATACAAAGTTGTATTGCTTTAACTTCTGTAATTCTATTTAGGAACTAGTAATTACGTCGCTTAAGGGCACAGTGAATAATTAAACGTTACTCTGCAAACCAGGCTTCAAAATTTCTGAAATCAAGGATGTTAAGGTGTTAAAAGTCAATTACCTTATTATTAATTACTACTTTAGACAAAAGTAATTTATGTTTATTTGATAATTTTGCTCCAAATTATCAGACATACCTGAAGACTGGTGCATAGTGCTGCTATTTCAACTCCCAGGTTGATTGTACACGCGTTTTTAAGATCGGCCACAATAAGGTCATGATGGACCTTAAACTGACCAACCAGATTGGAGATATCCGAGCTGACCTTTTGATTGTTCAATCGAATACTCTCCATATTGGCTTTGACAACATTCAAGGCACTTTGTAAGTGGTTTCCAGTCTGTACAAGCTGTTGAACGCCATACTTCTCCAGTAAACTGTCTACCGCAACTGCTACGCGACCTTCCAAAAGAGTCTGAGAAAAAATATTTTAATCGTTTTGTGAGTTGGCTGATGCCTAAGACGCGAAGGGGCTTAAAGTAATTGGCACAATTATGCGATTCCGAACTTGATGTAACCTAGGCACTGATTTTAATATGGTGTGAGGTAGCTTACAAAGCACCTAAACGCAAGTCCCAGATAATTAGTACTGAAAGCAACTAAGAGGAGACTGATAAATATCCATGATAAATTGCTAATGGGTGCTTACTATGAAGGCCAAAGGCGAAATTTTTCAAACTCTCGCTAAAAGTAAAGTTATTTGCCATCAAAAATAGTGTTAACTTTGCTTGAGAACTGAACGAACTTCAAGGAAGCTCGTTTCATACTAAACATATGGATTAAATTGGTTGCGTAAGTAGAGATGACAAAGGAAAAAATGTTAACCTTTTCACTCTCATGTAATTTTGAACATGACTTCAGTAGCTGGGGCCTATTAGCAGGTAGTGGTAGTTGAATGGGAGCAGTATGCAACAAGAAATTAATTCCTGAAGTCTGGTTTTTTGTGAAACTTAATGTATGAAGAATACTCGGATGTAGCAATAGAGTTTGCTTGGAACACCTCGATTGGGGCCACTCCAATTAATTGTAGGAAAGCGGTGGTGCAAATTCAGTAGCGTCGCATGACAACGCTAACGTAGGACTGAACTAATCAGACAGGTCCTATTCCATAATTCGAACATTTTTAAGGGAGCGTACAGCTAGCTTCATATCAGTTATTACCAATTGTTTCATTTAATGGTATTCTAGAGGGAGACAGAAGGTACTTTGTTGTTTTTAAGCTAAAATAAAATTCCTTTTAGGTCGAAGTTTCATAGGTTACTCACAGATAAATCTAATGACCGCTTTATCAAGCTAACACTTTCTGTTGCGAAATGCAGGTGCTGGTAGGATAAATAACTGGACTTATCCATCCTTTGGAATCCCTCCAAAGTCATATGATGCCTCATAATTAATACCCCAAAAATTCAGCGTGGGATTTTCATCAGCACGCCTTTTTGTGTTGCTCAACTTGCATTACCAGAGGAAAGTTCCATTAAAAGCCATTTAAAACACAGAAATTCACTTTAACAGACCATGAAAGTTCGGCTTTTGTAATTAATTTTTTTGAGTATTGCAACCGTTACTACGCTGAAATTAGCCACAGTGATAACGTAGAACTCTGCTTGCACCCTCCGTGACGTTATTGTCCCAGCTCTTTAGTTTTCTCAGCATAAAGGCAATTCGATGATCATATGCCTTTTTAAATCTTCCGAAGCACAATGCAATCGCTCGCCATCACAACCACGGCTCCGCTTTTGCTGGCTGGAACCTACGGCCAAAATGCCATTGAAATGCGAACACCTTTTGTGGGTGGCAGGACTGAAGGAAGTTGTCACAAGAATTTGTCATATTGTTTCGCCAAATAATGAAACTGTTCACGACTCGAAAAATAACTTAGCTCCTTCATATTTCAAGTAGGGAAATGATTTAGCTGGATAAATAGACGGCATAAAAATAGGGAAAAAAAAAGCCAACTTAAAAAAACGAGGCTTCTAGATGCTACTTTGTTTTGCACCAAATGAATTAGCCACTAACGTAAATTTCCAAGTGGAATGCCATCACCGTTGAATGTTGTAGAGCCTCAATCAAAACCACAATTTAGTTCAAGTTTTCTTCACTGCCGCAGATAATCATATAAAATTTTTATTTCTGTCTGGGAGCTTATCAAAATGCACTCATATACCATTCCAACTGTCATCAGAAAAGAGCAGCTACTGAAAGAAAGGGTAATGCTTATTTAGATGGCATATTTGACAACACAGATCTTCTGCGAAACTTCTAACCTTTAGACATAGAAAAAGCTTGTGAAACATACCATGAACGTCGAGTTGACTCGAACCAAAAAGTTAGCGGTAGAGGCGTTTCCAGAGGCGGTACCGGATATCAGAAAATCGAGAGTCTGGGCAAAGACATAGTTTAGACCACCGAGCAAGTTGAAGTTGTCGGGGTTGAAGGTTGCAGGAGTGGATGTGGACCGATTTTCCGCCAGCATATCAATGACAAGGTGGCCGGTATCAAAGAGGATGCAAATCATTACCATGAGAACAAGAAGAAGCACAAAAGTGAAGACAAAAACTGCCACATGGCAGATGAGGAGCTTGTCAACGTTTTTTTCGAAGGATTTGCTCGATTTGAGGGCCTGAGTGTGGAGTTTTTCCAGGAGGTAAGGGTCATGGTGGATCTCTTTGTCTTGAGGCAACTTTAAAGCAAATATAAAAAGAGGAAATTAATAAACCCGTTGCTGCGCTAGTAGGTTCTGCTGGTTTCAAAGGTAAGTTGTGTGCAGTTGACAAAACTGGCATTGCATTTGACCAACGGGAAGGAGAATCTAGTTCTTGTTCATGATCTTAAATTTCACAAATGAAATAAATCTGGCGGGACATCTTCATTTCAATTTACCTTAGTTCACGAAGTAGCATCTGGCCCATACTGACATTCCAGGTATTTTAAAATTTCTTGACATAGTAAAGAAACCGAGTTATCAGGCAAGTATTTGGTGTTAGTACCGTTTCCAAATCTACAGTCTTCCTTGGTGCTGACCCATGTTCGAGACGTCATTTGGATGTTCTTAATCAAATTCTTAGGCTTTTAAACTCACGTGAAGCTTAACAACCAACTTGAAGAAGGACCTTCCTATCTTGTCAAGCAATGATCTTGTAAAGATGGATGACGGCATGAAACAAACTGAATTGTTGGAGATAATTTTCGTGAACCTCTGTACCATGCGTATTGAGAAAACGAGGTCTAACGGGTGTAAGGCGCGTCATACCACCCCCCAATGAAGGGAATGGCCACTTTTCCCCTAAGTCACAAGACACGATCACTATTCACATGAAGAAAAGAAGAAGCACTTACGTTCTAGTCAGTCAAAGCAATGCTTGACTAAGGAAATAATCAACTCGGAGAGGTGCTTCCAAAGGCTCCCATTAATAATGGCCTCATCAAACCGGGTTAAATGTGAATGGACGCCTTCACAGTGCCTTAGGACGAGAACTTTGATCCGACTAACACGGTTTGATAATACTGGGAAAATCTTGGAGATAATTACAAGATGATAACTCCATTAAAACAATTAGTTAGAGTATAGCTGAGGAAAATGATTAGCATGAGTGAGTGACTTTGATTTCAAGTGTTGTAATTGACTTGCTTCTATTCTAGCTGATCTCTTGATAGGGAGTTCCAACTCAAGAATTCCTTAAAACAAACCGGCTCTATGAAGTAGATTTGAAAATCTCCGCGTTTCCACTTCTGGAAGCCTATTTAAGGTAGGCATGGGTAGCAGACGTATTTCACCTAAACCATAATGTCAAATGACAGTCTTGTGTTGCATGGGATTTAAGAATGAAGAGCACTCACTTAGTCGAATCCAGCTTAGTATCTAATTAGTGTAATTTTTTCCCATTTTCATCATTAATATAAATATATTAGGTGAAACAAAGGTGTGGCTAAGCGATGGGCTGCTTTTTACTACTTAAATCTTGTTGCCATAGACACAAGGCTCAAATCCCTGTGGAGTGGTGGATTGTACCCCAGACGTATTACTTTGAAGGGGGCTTGCTACCGTAGCTACTTGTCTAAAACGGAAACAGCTGCCGTGACAATGGGGTTGCATGCTTTATACTGAGTAACTGAAAGGGTCACAGGGATAGACACCGTCTCTCCCAAAGTGGCTGATCACTTCATCAGGGGTCTGGAGGCCAGCAGTTAGATATAGGTAAAAGAAAACACACATGTGATACATCAAAACTCTCCTTTGGGGAAGGAAATTGCCTATTTAAAAGATGGGAAAATTGTCATCAGATCACTAGCGATGTATCTTCTGTTTCGGGCTGAAAAGATTTCGTGGAATCAATTTCAGAAGGAAGTTACTAGCTAATGGCTTTAAGGCGAAGATAGAAAGCAGTGCTAAATATGAGGTGAATTCTTAATGGCACTTCCATAAATAGCCCAGACCGAACGTTAGGATTGTACAGCCAAGTCTGGTGTCACGTTACTTCGCCTTGAAGACAATAGGAAGGGGAGAGGAATAAAGAATTTCATAATGGGACTATGCCTTTAACCGTTGTTGTGGCAACATAAGTACATTTATTTATAGGTGGGTTGAATTCACGTGACACTCCCATAAAGTTTTGTAGATTCTCTCCTTTACGGATTATATCAGACTCAATGTTAGACGTTGCTTCTTTATGGTTTTGGGTAAAGTTGCTGAAATATTTACCGCGTTTTCTTGGACCGACTTTCCCACTCACATCACCGACAACTTCACCAGGCATCTACTTGACAACCCTGCCAGTTAAAAATTGTCATTGACGCTTCGAACCTTTGTGAATGTGCATTAAAGAGAAAATGAAAAACCGAAATAAAAAATGAAACAATATCCTGATTTTTCCCCGGTTTTGATCAAGTTTTTTGTGGTAAAGACTGATTGGCAGTAATTAGAGACCACAATAATCCATTTTAAATGATATAAAGGGACCTTCATGGGGAAAGAAATTCAAGCAGAGCGCATGTGAACTTTTATAACAAATGACAAATGGCAATTAGTTGCACGATTGTGAAAGAATGGGAGTTCTTTGTTCTCCAAGAGTGGATAGACGGATCTCACAGCGGATTTGAGTCGGTGTTGATAAGTATACTTAAACTTTTTCCCCTAACTCCACAAGAGAACGTCCCTTCTGGAAATTACCATATTCATCCCAACCAACAATGGTGTTGAGAGCATAAAATAAGAATGTGATCCAGTGTTGGAATTTAGAAATAGGAGAAAATATCTAGGCTTTTGGCAATGTTGTCCATTTTGCCTGGCCCACGATGAAAGCCGACTTGTCAGGTCATGAAGAATGCATAATGTAATGCATCTCTGGCTGCTGGTCGTGAATACAAAGGGTTCCACCACTTGCCAGGATTTCAGCGTTCAGATGTTGAAATCCCAAACTCAATTCTCCTTACAAATAGATCCAACATACAGTTTTGAAGCAACCATTTTTTGCACTTTTAGCCATTCATCCCCGTAGTTTTCCTGTTATTGCAGTAGCGGAGAAGGCATCGCGTCCTCCGGCTTAATGGATCACTCACAACACTTAACCCTACGTTTCTCAGTCTCCATTACATTACCTCCTACTGCCCAACCTGTTACCATTTCTTCCCTTACATCATGACCTTTTGACCAAATTTGTCGCCTGATCTTGTATTTGCATTCATAAATACGCCCTATTCTGATTGACTGAGACAAAATTTTCCCCACAAATGGGCGTTTCACATTGATATGCACTGTCAGTCGAAAAATTGGACCTAGAAGTGAACAGTTCAAATGTCCTCGTGAAAAGTACTTCTATTTTACCACCACCAAGCTTTTTCCCAAACTAGCATTCCATCTACAGTTATCGTCTCCCATGCAGACCACAAACACTTGCTCACGTGAGACAATATATTGCCAGCAATCGTCTTTTTGCGTATGTAGTACAAATGTGAATGACATGATCCGATTACTCCAGACAGCTTTCCACTTTGAAATTACGTGATTGCCACTGACGAGGAACACTTAAACCGGAGCTGCATTTGCAAGACGTTCAATAGGATATTGCCGTCGGCTGTTGAGCTTACTACCAACAGAATTTGAGGCAGTTTCTTTTCCAGACTACTTCGTTGAAATTGTGGCAAGGAAGCCTTTTTTGTACCGGCAAAGATTACAAGTTTGTTGCGACACAGAATAATGTCAATTTTCAGTAGGAAAACCTAATTTGATGGTCGCTGAATGTTCTTTTGTAGAGGTAATGTCTTTATTTTAATGCAGGCTATCGACTCAACAATGATTTCATACCCTGATCAACGTTTTAGTCTGCTCTGAAATGGTTTGAGCATATAAATTATGACCTCGCGATTGAACTTATTGTATGGATATATTCGGCCCCCGAATAATGGGAAAGTTCTCCTCTGCTTTGTTACCTTATAAAGCTATTCACTTTTTAACTTTCCAGTTTTTTGAGTTAATTACATCAGTCTTCTTGAAATCCTGGAATCCTGGTGAATCCTAGATTTATTTTCACTGAAAACCTAAGACATGGGGTCTTTTTCAAATATGAATTCCGGCTCAAAACGGCACAAAATCTTTGAAATGGGCTGTGATTAGCTGTTTGGGGAGTTGATTCCCTCTCCCTAACCATTCGTGCATTACCATTTACTGTCATGACTAATATGTCACTTGAATCAAGTAAATGGTTATAGAATGTGCTGGACAGTGAAAAGAAAATAAAAGAGAAACTCACAGATCTCTGAGCAGCCATATGTTTTGTGAGTTTTCCATCAACATTCCTATCCCTCTTACAACAGCATGGACAGTTGCAGCTCACAGTAACGAGGGCAAGAGGGAGGAGAAGGAGGAGGAGGGCAAAGAGGACCGTGACACCGGTTAGAATTGCTACTTGTTGAGAGTACCCATTGCCATCCTGAAGCTCAGCGGGGAGCCACCGGTAGACCTCCAAGTTATGTCGGCCTCCGAGAAAAAGATTTTGGTGAATGACCTCCATGAGCGTCTGCAGGAGGTCAATATTACGCTGCGCAATTGTCGAATTAGGAGTCACCATGAAGAAGTCATTGAGGAATCCACAGTTGTAGACGTTTGTAGCCCAGGCGAAAACTGCTGTGGCTCCCGACAGCAGACCATTTTGCAGAGACGTTACCATCGCGCAGTCAAAGTTGGATAGTTAAGCTAGCCTCCGTTTGTCCTAAATGAAAAGAACCTCCATAATCTTGTGATCGTCAGAACATCACCGGTAGTAAATGGATAACTAATGGTATATCTTATTTTCATGAGCTCACCATATTAAGTACTAATGCACGTACAGTCTAAATATCTGAAAATTTATTCACACAAAGCGTTTTTAATGAGTGAAGAAGGTAATCTGAATTGTGATTCGCTGAGCAATGACTGACGAAGCAATGGGCGTTGCCTGATCAAGGCTTCCCATTGGTGGGTTACTTAGCGCCACTCAATTCATGATAATCTAAAATGCCTACGAAAGAAAACTTCTGCATTTGGAAATCCGATTTCCCTTTGGACTTTGAATCAGGCTTTGGTGGAGTGGTTAATGTGAATTGTCAGGTAGTGGTAGATTTTAAACTCATTGGATTCAATTATGGAGGAAGAAATATGAGTTGAGTATGGAAGGCTAGTTCAACTGGCACAGAACGGGACTCAATGAGGTAAAAAAATTTTGAGCTGTTCCGAGTAAATGGACCTTAGCCGTAATTGGTTGGCCCTATGAAGATGGAGAGGTACGTGCTTTGGAAGCTTGAATTGGAATGATTGATAGCATACTCATTCACTGAGTGAAAGTCAAATTTGTACTTCATCATCTTCCCAATTCGGTCAACTAACAACCAGGAAACGCTTTTATTTGACGGCAAACGGAAAACCTTCCAAGCTCATTTCCATCTGCCAGCGGGTGTGTGGAACCCCCTGCTGCCACAATTTCTCCGAGTGCCATGCAACCAACTGTACAAAGAATTATTTCCAACAGTATATCTGGACCGAAGGTAAATAATTTCTTTTAGCGGAAAAGTTAAAAGCAAATTAGGCTTGCTTAACTGACATTTCTTGATTCGAGAGTTTAAAGGAAAAGGAAAATAACCGAAAGCACAATAGGACTGTTTACGCAGAGAGGCTGACGCATATTTGGCCATGCTTACTAATGGACACAACCAAGCGAATGGGTTTTGCATGTCCATGCAAGTTAAAACAGGCAACTGCAGGGAGGTGTACCGATAGACACACGAACCTAGTAGCGATTGTTAACGCTTTAAAACTATCTTTACATGATGCCGGGCAACGAGGGGAACTGGACGAAAGCAAAAGCTTTGGACTTTTTAGGGCGTTTGAGAATTAAGCACGAAAAGGGAAGATAGAGCACCAATAGCAGAAAGTAAGTTACAAGCCTCATCAAATTTGAAAAAAATTAGACCTAGCGGGGAAAACTATAGCAAAACAATATAGTCAACTAGCTCAACGTTTGCCCCAAATAACAACTTCACTGATGTCGAGGGCCATCCTTCTTTGCGATGAATAAATCATCCATTTGTGACTAAAAACAGTTGACTTAGCTTTAAATTTTGCAAGTTGTCAGAACCACGTACACGATCAAACACGGGCCTTGATTGAAATACCCTTCCCACTTGTTTAACTCTTCGATTCGGTTATGCGGGCACTTAATACTCCTCCTCCACCGTGCTTCCTTCAGGCGGAACGACCTCTGGGCTACACCAATGGCCTGCCAGCCCTTCTGTACGTCGTCAAAACATTCTGTCTGACTGTTATGACTTCTTTTGTCTTTGAGAAAGACTCCGGGCGCTATTTGGTAATTACTCGTTTTGGATTTCAGCCATGTGTAGCCTTAATATTTGAGTCCCAAAACAGCAATTTTACCGATGATGGCCATTAAAAAATTTTCCATATTTTTTCTCGGCAGCCTTTTAGACTTCAGCATTTCTAAAAAATTTTCAGCCAGGAATCAGCTTGATCCGCGTGATTATTGCGACCAAATAGAAATGTCTCTACTAGGAAATTAAAAGGATACCATGTAAAGGTGGGCAAATGCACTTTTGATTCTGTAGCGGCACGGAACAAACATTCCCTATTCTCCCTGACAAATGGGTAAGAAATATGTTGAAAATATGCAGTTAGGATCAATTTGGATTCAACTCATCGCGCAATATCTAACCACTGAAGTTATCACGAAACCAACCTGGCATCAATGTGGTGGAGGGAAATTATTATAATACAGATCCCAGCACAAGGCTGGTCTATGCGCCCTAAAATTAAAAAAAAAAAAAATAAAAAAAAATTTGTAATTTGTTGCAGACATCAGTGAGGCATGTTGAAATTTATATTCAGATTTTGTTGGCTTGAAACATGGTATTTTCAGAAAAGTCGTTATTTTAATGGACGTTTATTTACATTTAAAATGGCCCATAAAAGGTTTATTTAGTAACCATATTTGACATTTGCTAACCCTGTTGTTAATAGGATCGTTTAATAACGCATACTTATACCAATTTTGGGTTTTATAGTTGCTGTCATGTTGGAATTTCACGTACGAGACATGATATCCGCGAAAACGCTTAATACTTTAAGCTAAACAATGGAACTAGCATAAGAGTTTGTGGTGTCACGAAAACTCACAAGAAACTGTTTAATATCCCGCGGAACTGACTCCGTGCTTAAAGGAAAATTGAAATCATTGTGGTGATTTGAGTCCCTCGAGGAGATAATGGCCCATATCGAAGTGAAGAGCCTCTCATTGGCGTAGAAAGGGGGCGGAGGGTAGCATAACTTACAGAGCCCAAATGCGCCGCATAGGTAACCATCCATTTAAACCGATAGGATTCACTACTAGTGAATGTGCCTTAAGCAGATGTAAAATTAGTTTGTGGGTGTGAATACAAAAATAATTGGTCTTGATAAATTACTACTAAAAGGTTGCAAGTAGATAACAGCAAGTGATAGGTAATAAGGTCGTAATCGAATGCCTCTTGGGCGCTTTTGAAGTATCATCGGTCAAATAAAATTTAATTCTTTTGTTCCTACGTGAGCAATTGCATCAACGCATTAAGACGGTTCGCAAGAACTTCTTAGTTATAAGTCTGTTTTTGTACCTTTACTTCAAAGTGGATACAGTTGCATAATTTCAGGCTGAGGATGAGAATGATTGTCTTTTCTGTTTTTCATGGATTGTGGCAGCCAAATTGATTCGAATGACGTCAAACGCACGCCCCTGTAAATAAGCTTATTAAGAGTATATGGATGAACTAGGAGTGAGTGTCAAACCGTGGCGCCGAGGTGGGAACCAAAAACGTGGAGCCGGGATACCTCGTGTAGTTAAACAACGAACGGTCTGCTGATGAACTATTAATAACTAAGTCTATGTACGCCCAAAGTCCTCCGAATAAAGATTTCCATTTGTCACTAACACACAAAATGACAAATTTTGACTGCTCTTGGTTTTAAAACAAAGCACTAATTTAAACAAAGAATATTTCGCCTATATCTATTTCACAAGCAGCATTAACAAAGAAAGTATATCCTGCATTTTATAATAGGAGGAACTGGTATTGAATCAACTTTGAGCATGGTAGGCTTCACTCTGACATTCCCATATTCGAACACAAAATTGAGAAAATAAACGAAATTCTCCGTTTTAATGAAAGTAATTACTAGCTGTCAAGTTGTTAGTGCAACACTACGTTTGTTTAGATCTTCGTTTTGGTTTCGCGGGTACTAAATGCTCCAACACTATACTTCCGCCGGGTGGAGTGACCTCCGGGCCATGGCACCGGTCCCCTAGCCCTTCTGTACGTTGCCAACGCCTTTTCTATCCCAGTACTATGAAACCACTACAGCTAAGGCAACAGAAAAATGACCAAATAAGCAATTTGGTGATAAAATTAACCCAAGTCCAAACAATTCTTCCGTTTTCAGGACACTTGATTAAGGACCTAGTACAGTTAGTTAGACAATGAAGGGAGCCTAGCAAAGCTTAGTTTATGCGTTTTTTTAAGGGATTCTATTCCAAAAAGGGCTTTCTGGAAGTGGTTGTAAAAAAGCAGGAATCCTCACGATTGATCAATTGAAGTCTCAAATTTGCGAAGTGACGCTAAGTACATTTTGGAGGTTTTTTTGCCAAGCAGCGAGAGAGACAGAGAGAGGTGGGGGTCAGGGTGAAAAGAATAGAGGCAACGATGAGATGAAAGAATTGATGGAACTGGGTGCGTGAGTGTCACCTGGAAGTGGGTTTTGATTTGCACAGAGCTCCGTGCCACACGCCACAACGTGAAATGTATTTTATCACCAAGTTTCCACAATCACTCCTCAAGCGTAAGTGCTATTGAAACCGCTTTATCTCCTACCTACCCATCAATCCATGATGCCTTTATGTTATTTGTTCTATAGAAAAGCTACATGAAAATTCAAATGTTGTGAAAAATGTCGTAAGTTTTCTTTCTCCCTTTTGATATGGCATTTTCTTTCAAATTGGATTGTTTAAGATACTAGGTTAATAAATTTAAATTTATAAAAACTAGTGGGACGAAATAAATTAAGTTAGTCTAGTCCTTTTTCAAAAAACCTGGATCACTCTGTCAAGTTGTTATCTGCTGTAAGTAGGAAACAGGAGGGAACAAGCTTTTAACTTTTAGACCTCTTAGATGAAGTGGTAGTGAAGCCAAATAAGTGGAACTAGTTGATTAGGCATGAGTAGATTAGGGAATGAATTACAACCATTATGTACCTACATTTACTCGTTTTAACTTTCTAAAATGTAAAAATATTTCAGACGATACCGAGATCACCTACTTAATATGCACTTTTGCTTAACAGCAAAAAGACGTTAATTCCGCTTTCAGAATTGGGACAGTTTCTAGCCGATGAGAGTACAACGGATTACAAGAAGCTGAGACAGCAATTTGCTGTAAGTTGTAGTGATTCTTTGCTAAAGTGGATGTTCACAGGCCTTCTAAAGGTTAGTCAAATGTAATCAAACGAGGCATAAACAAGTCCACGTTCTTGCATCATAAGATGGATGAGATAGAGGTGATTTCAAATTCTAATTGTGGGGTCACTTCTGTCTGTGTTGAAACGAAGGCTAACCATAGGCCAGTCTCTTCCTAAATACCCATGAATTTGGAATTTTGGGGAAGTTTTTTGAGGTTTGACGACTTAAAATTACGAATAAATTAGCCCTAGTGAAGACCAAAAATGTGCTATTAACTGTAGAAACTTACTGACGAATCCACTCAGGAGGTGAGAAATGGCAACAAGGCTTCTGTGTGTGGAACTCTCCTTGGAAACGTTGCCAAGAATCGCTATACACATATTCTTCCGTGTAAGTTTATTTTTTCAAACTGTACTTGAACCTTCCTAAAGAAAAACCGGGCACTTTGGCTTTCAGTCATTTTATAAGAAACAATTTTGAGAAAGTAAATGATGTATTCCTTAGGAATGAACCAAAATTTTGCCTTATTTCTAGGACTTCTTAGTGTTTATCTTTATTTTTAGGAAGAGTTTGATCAAAATAGAGGCGTTTCATCTAGAGTCAGATTAAAACATGGTATCTAGGAGACCCAGTATAAAAACAGGTATTCTCTGGATTAGATGGCAGGTTTTCCCACCATCAAAAGGAGATTTGTGTGCTGTGATTTTGAACAAGATGGGCACCTAGTTTATAAATGCTGGAATTGTTAAATCCACCTTCCTACAATCGTACCTTCAGATGACAGATACCGAGTAATTCTGGGACGCACGTGGGACGACTTTCAACGACTCCAAACAGTCCAACCATCCTTGGTGGGTGGAGTAATTTTGCCGCAACTCACAAATTTTGAGATTAATCAGGAATCTTGACCAGCTACCGTTTTTAGCATTCATCGGTTGGTAACTATATAAACGCCAGCTACATCGGGGTCTGCAATACAGACATCAATGGAAAAGTCTTTAGCCAGGAATCTATCGCTAAACCCAGATTTATCACTACTCAGGACCCTTTGGAGAATACTATTGGGGATTTCTGGAAAATGGTCTACGAACAACAAGTTCCCACTATCATCCGACTTTCAGAGTGAGTCACGAAATAAGTACCAAAACACAAAATTGAAATTTACTAATTCACCCATTCCGAGGTTAGACGATTCCAGCGATTAATTAGTTCTATAGGTTATAAAGCGATTGCAACTGACGCAAAGCTTTCACCTAAAAATTGTAGTAGGAATGAAGGAGGACACCCGAGTGTCTTGCTGCCACTGCACCTCTATACCGTCATGCAAATGCAGAAGACCTATTTTCCGGAAGTAGCCTTAACCCTAAATCTTCTTTACGTCCATCTAATTAGCTGTATAGCTCTGAGTGAACTGTTTACCCGTAGATAAGGTAACATCATAAGCTAGTGGCATTCGAAGCAAGGTGGGGCGATATTTATATACTTGTCATGCCTTCGTAAATTGACATGCGGATATGTGCAAACCAGGTTGCGGTACGTAGTGCATGTCACAAGGGGATTTGACAACGCCTGAGTGAATTTCGGAAAAATTAACCTGCTGATGACGGTTTGTATGAAGCTTTCTGTAAGTGGGCTATTTTTGCCACTTAAGTGAAAAAGATTAAACGCGAATTTACCGATTGCAGATAAGGCGATTTAAAGTAGTGATGGACCGAAGTTGCAGAGGATTATAAGACGTCACTGTTTAAAAGGATCCCACATACACCATAGGTTTCCCCCAGGTAGAAAACGCTTAGTTCACTTATTTAACTATGCAAAAGATTCGCAGTTGTTGTTGTCTGCCTTGTCAAAAAAAGGAACTACAAAAATTTTCTCCCGCACTTAAGCGATCAAAATGAACAAATTCTAGAGCATTCATGACTTCATATTCAAGTGATGATGGGAAGAAAATCACTGCTCTACGGTGAGGCACGGTTTAAAAACTCTGATACTATCTAAATAGGACTGAGCTAAGGCAAAGCTGTGGTTATATGTCACAAAAATTGACCATGGTTTGAGACTGAACATTTCATCAGTGTATGACAAAGGAATCCATTGAGACAATTTTGACAATTGGCAGGATTGACTCAAAGAAAATGTTGTTTAGTCTGAGATCGTGTGACAATTAGGCCTTATAATCAAACTAGCTTAGTCGTTCGTTGGCTTTGGAGAAAGGATATCCCGTAAATTTCCATCACTGTGAGAAACAATTTCGTTTTAAGCATAAAAGTGAACCTAATAAACTCTGAGAGAACATAATGCAGCATTCCGAGGCCTCCCAAAAGACAAAAGAAGACATACTTCTGGGGCAGAACATATACTAACGACATACAGAAGGGTTGGGAGGCTACTGTCATAGTCAGGACCCCCAGTGGAGGTACAATGGCAGGGTATTAAAGGCCCCACGAAATGAAAATGGTTAAACTAATAGTCAAAGTATTCTACCGGGTGGAGTGAATTTGCTACTTCAAAATGAGAGCACACCCTGTGCATGCAAAGTTCATTTATTCCCAAGAGGATAATAATATAATTCTAAAAATTTTAGATCATCAGAATACAAGGATGAGGTGCTGAAATACTGGCCGCAGGAAAAAGGCGAAAAGGCCTCCTATGCAACGAATCCTAGCAAAATGTGGGTTAGGTTACTGCACGAGGAGCAAAAACCCGTGTGGATGGAGAGGAGCTTTAAAATCTGGCTCGATGGTCACAAAAATTTGGTGAGCATTTGATGCCAGTATCCAAGGAATTAGGTGTAAAAGGAAAAGCTTTGCTCATTATTACCTTATCTGATACTCTGAACTCCTACTGCTTTCAAGGCAACTTCCACGTATTCCGAAAAAGTTTTCGTAAATTTGTAACATGAAAAGTTCAGTAAGCTTTTCCACTGTCAGTGCCTACAAGGCGTCAAAATATGCACTGCAATATGTAAAAAACCGGGCTCTTGCAGGAAAACGGTTAAAATAAACGTTCTATTTCAATTATCTACTTTCTAAAGAAGATGAAATGCATTTGCTGAGACGAGGAAATAGATGTTAAGTTCAAATATCGTGGATAATGCATGAAAGACACATCCGAGGCAGTTACACTACTCTCCGCCGAAATTGATGAGCATTCATAGTGATAAGTCCCAGGGCGAAACCCATTTTTTAACAAATCACATTGAAAATCGCTTCTTCCTACACTGTTCCCATATCAATCGGCTGGAAAACACTATCTTGAGTGTAGATAGGCAGTATAAGAGGAAATAGTTGCAAAACCTAACGTCCCTGTAAACGTAAAAGCTTTGAAGAAATGCCCATCACTGAAAGGATTATCCTCCTATTAACTAAATATTTAAAAGAACTCCTAAGTTCATTCCATTCTGAATCATATCTTCCGTAATCCTATAATCGCATAGAACTCTGACAACGTACTACTTACCTATTTTAAGTAAAGTGCCCCTAAGAGGCATTCTGATACACATTGCTCCGGGAAAGCGTTCCATCACAGATCCAATACATGATTAAATATTTTGGGGCTCTAAAATATGCTTTTTCTTCTTTAGTCCATGTTTGTGCACCACTTGCAGTACGTAGGGTGGATGACGAATTGCGTCCCGGCCTCTACGAATCTTCTTAAATTCATTGACGATGTTACCAATCCCCTCGTCCCAATCGCGACCACTGCTGGACCGATGGTAGTTCAGTGCAGGTCAGAGTGAATTTCACTGCTTGAAAAAGGGAAAGGCATGTATTAAGATGTCATTTAATACTCCCAAGGCACAGTAGTAATGCTGTTAAAGGAAGGAAAGCCAATTGATCCACATAGCATTGTATTATTTCTTTCATTTAGACATAATCTACATTAGTGCTATTCAAACTCCATTAATGTTGGCATAATCTCTGCAGCCACTTGAGTTATTAGGTCAAGCTTTGTTAAGGTTTTTAAAGCCACTTAAAGTAGTTGTTTGTAGAGGAGGTATTGGTAGGAACGGTTTCTTCGTGGCCGCCTCCCTAATAAAAGAGAACATCGAAATGGGCATAAAGGGCGTGGATATATACAATACTATCAAACAGCTGCGCAACTACCAGATGGCACTTGTGAATTCCGTGGTGAGTGCATGCAGTCTATTTCTAACAGGTCTCAGATTGTGAGAGTGAGGTATTTGGCAAGTGAAGTTCTGTATCTTGAATCCTGAATATAAATTAAAAAAAAAAAACTGTGTGGCATTGTTAGAGTTGAAAACATCTAGTGTGGGTGATCTTAGTGTTCAAGGGCTATTCAAAGTATCATAAGCATTGATTGTGAATGTGAGTCGGGTTAGTCATTGTGCTTCTTACTTAACCAAGTTCAAAGAAGGCACAAAAGAACAACCGCCAAAAGATAGCCTAGTCAAATCTAACCCAACATTTTTGTAGTACACAGGTCTTATCCGTCTAGTGCCCTTCAGTGACCTCTCAAAATGACGCAAAATCTCGTAATGATTTGTTTTTTAGGATTACTACATAGAACTCCATAATTTTGCCCTTCAAGCCTACCTACAAGCAAAAGGGGGCGGATGCAAATACTTGGAGTACAAAGAATTCGACTAATCTTCTCATTTAAAAGAAAATAAAGGGAAAATATTTCCTGCTTTGATTTTATTCCGAGAAACATCTATGAGAAATTTATTTTTTGCATCGTATCCTAGCTAAATGGGGCATCTCACTATCGCCGACCAAAAGCACAATTGTCTTACCAAAGCTGAGATACTAAGAGAATTTTCTCCTCACAAATCAGTCAAATTTCTCATAAAGTAGGTGAACTGAGTTTAAAGATAAGGAGTAAGAAATTTGCGTGGCTTTACCGATGTGGAATCGACGCCTTGTACAAACCAAGTCAGATATTACACCTGCATTGCATACGAGGTATCACACCATTGGGAGTAGACGCTGCGATACCGCCTCCCACCTAGGCATCTGGTCTTCTGTTTTCGCAGATTTTCTTGGCCAACACTTTGGAATTCACTTTAGAAAGTGACAATGCTTCAAAACCTTAAAGCACTGGCTTCAAAGCCAAGAAACTTCCTCGAAATTGATCTGACACATGAATAACTATGCTGGAGGTTCCTACTTGGAAAACGTTTTCAAACTACAATACTTCGTTCAAGCAATGATTGAGAAAATCAACGTGAAGTGCCTCGACTTTCAAAGCATTGACGCGGAGTGCGCGTACATCTCTCCAAATAGTCGTGAAGATGGATTGCAGAGGGAGGCAGCCAAACCGACATCATGCACTTCGACAAATCATAGGCGGCGACACCAAAAAACTTTAGCTCACTTTGCTTAAGTGCCTACATGATTTAATGTCAAAAAAATCTTGCTAAATACCGATGCACCATTCTTAAATCCCCCTTCTCAAGTAATTCTGGAATACTGCTTGTTTACTTTTCCACAGATAATCTCACTTTAAAGCAGTCGAATTTCTCCACCGTTAAACCCATGATTGATCAAATCAGCTCTGTGGGAGGGCCGTTGAGATTCCATTTAAAAGTTTGACAATAACTGCTATGATCTAGAACAGGCGGCATTCGGGGGCCCACAAGTTACGCCTAACCGCACTCAGGCTAAGGTAATAGCACAACTCTAGCAAGTGGATTCCACAAACATTAAAGTACTTTCTCTATAGCGATTTTACGTTTGAATATTAAATTTATCAAATGGGAGACAAATAAACTAAGACACCGGTAGGTTTGTATGTGCTTTTTGGTTCACCTAAGGGACTAAAAACTTTGCATTCCCTAGCTTTAAGCCTCACAAAGGACCAATCTCTCAATCGCTTTCATAAAGGAAATTGAAGTGATTATTTACAAAATAATAGGACACAAAGTAGGAATTATCATACAAGAAGTAAAAGGCGTTTTTTAATTTAGACGCTCCATTGCCAGTCAATGGGTCCATAGCCCTCCTGCCTAGTTCTTAATAATCGCGCTTTGGAGATGAGAAGATGGATATTTCGAAAGTGCATACTCATTCTTGCTGCGGTCAGTCCCAACCACGTATCATCTATGTGGTAGGGTTTGGTGAAGAGCATACCCAAAGCCAATCTTTGGACATTTGAGTAGCTCATAAGAACGTATACACCAAAGGGATAGGGTGGATGCTCAGGCCATGGCACCTCCGACTTTGAAACACCCCATTTATCAAAACCACGTTTGTCATATCGATAAACGCGTCCTTGTAGAACCATAATCCCGTGAAATAAATAGGCCTTCTTTTCCGGCGACAATTTATGCAAAGCTTTGGCCAGGTCTCTATCTGAAAACGGCCCATCATCATCCAGAAATAGGACAATCGGTCGGTTTCTTTGACAAAACGTAGCAACCCAGATATACGAGTACTGCATTTTCATCGTGAGATTAAAGTAATTGTCTTCGTATTCACCCACTATAAGATCATCATTGTTTACCAGCTCTTCCTCCAGCCGTTGCAAAATTTCATTGGCACTTTCTCCATCAGGGTTGAGACGAAAGGTCCTGCCGCCACGATGAAGGACGTTTTGTTGACTAACTCGAAGACCGACGGAAAATACTATGCCAATCCGTTGACCTAGGTGAAGGCGTCCCCAATCTGCTGATTTGGTTCTATATATTCGACGGAAATTTTCACGTCTCTGAAAGTTTGTTGCACCGGATTTGACCACCACCACGACATCGTAGTCTTGACTTGCCGGATAATCAGGATGACAAACCGATTTACTAACCACGCTGTATCGAAATACCACGTTGTTTATTGGAGCCTACACAAAAAAGGCATACAATGGACACTTCCGTACTTCCAATTGTTTAGACAATCAAATCAATTCATATCAATGCACATTCTGAGTGGTAGCTATGATGATCTCGTGCATGCGCTTCAATAAACTCTCTTCTTTATAACCCTCCCATAGCGCTTATTTTGAGTGGCGATTCTTAACTGGTTCATCAGCTATTTCAGCTGCGTAAGCAGAGTAATGCACTATTAGAATATGACTAACTGCTTAGTCAAAACTAACCTCTTCGATGGGCCTGCCTTGCAGCAATCGATTGACAGTATCGCTGACATTGATCGCCTGAGGGTAGGTTCTGAAAACTTGGGGATGTATAGGTAGTCGCCACAAATGGTCACGAATGCCTTTCAAGTCCTCGAATCGCAGAGGCACGCCTTTTGGACACTCTTTAAGAACGAATTGATCCGGAACTGTGAACTTAGGCGCGTTGATGGAGTTAACTTGATAACCCAGTGTGACTGCATAACCCGATCCGTATTTTCGCAATTTCATGGGCCAACTAACGGGCCCACTGAGTTTCCGTTGATGTTTTGCAGTATCAGTATCTTGCGTTTTCGGAGGTGAGATTTTTAAGCATATGAAGAAGACGCTGAGGCAAAACATCCCCCAAAATATGGCGCTTTTCCGATGGACCACTTTTGAAGCACTATAAAAACGGCGACTCATTCAAAGCCCTTATACACACACAAGCATGCATATAAATATAACCGTGCAAACACTTGGTTGATATCTTCACTACCAACTTCACCTGGATTGGTTGCATGATTCTGTTAGAGGGCACCTTTGAAACCGCTCACGCTGGCATGTGCCTTGTTAGCGGTGCAATCAATATAAACGCACGAAGGTTATTATTACAAAAAAAAGGCCAAAAAGCAGTTTGTTCTTATTTAAATTAATTAATACGAAGAAATTTTACCACAATTAAGTGGTAATAAAATTTGCTTTCATGGAGGTATGAGTGGATCCCGCGTAAATCCAAGTTTAAAATATTCATTAACGTAATTAACTTTTCCTATCCATGACTTAGTATGTACAAGTGTTCTTTACGAAAAAGAGATTTTTCATGTCGACAAAGGACTAAAAAATTTGGTCACAATGTCGCCTCTCGCGTGCTTTGGCTAGAGTAGTAAACACCTGGACTAGTTATATTCCCGCATCTCTGTGGCGCTTTTATTGGCTGTTACTCACTTATAGTTCTTAGGCCATTCAAGGTGCAACGACGTGATCAGTGACCAATCAAGGAGGCCTCAGAGGGAGCGCTGTGGAATTTCCTATAGGGTTCGAGGCAAAGCATGGGACAGAATAGCACTTTTAACCTGATAATCAAGAAACAAGGGTGTCAGACCGTCATCCCTATTGACCGACGCATGTGAGCACGCAAGGGGGAGCAGAATGAACGCGTGAGAGCCTGACAGCTGGGTAGTGGAGACCCCCCGCACCTGATTTGCACGGCCGTCTTTGTCACGCGCGTCCAAAGGGCATCGAAACTCGATCCCACCCAATCAGAAGGGACCGAGAGAGGCTCTACTCCCTACTGGTCAAGGGTTGGGCGTTAGCTGGACCTCTCTAGACAATCGAATAAAAAACCCTTTATGGGGTTGTAGCCATCTCCAATGATGCAAGTTTGTAAACAACAGTTCCCACTCTATTTAAAATTACACACTTCAAAATAACTAGAACTAAAATAGATTATGAGGAGTTCTTTTGCCAAGCATGGTAAATGAACATAAAAGAACTGTGAGGGCCAAGGTACCAGGCAACATTGTTTGCTTCATTCCACACATTTTAAGTGCCTCTTGATCAGACAGTAATCGAATTTATAGCAATTTCAACCGTGCGTAATCACTGCCACTTAATAATTTGCTCCACCTCCACTGGGTCGGACGATTCAGCACAGTACTTGGTGGATTCCTATAACAAGTGAAGCCTTGCAGGAACAGCTAACGCAAAAGGGAAAACAAGCGGGCACAGCAACAAAGGTAGAGCTATTCTTATTTGCTATCTTAGGCAAAAAGAGCAAAAAATGAACGTCAGACCTGTATTTATGAGGCAAAAGAGAATAACGGGGAGCAGGACACTCACGTTGACTGAACTAAGGCAATGCGATTCGAGTTTGTCTCTTCTACGAATCAAAATCGCCGCAGCTTAGATAATGGTTGATTAAGGCAGAGAGAAACCAAGGTCAAGAAAGTAAACGGCGCTGCCTCTATGTGAATAAAACATGTGTGAAGCCAATTTTGTTTACACACAAATGTCACAACCAAATATGGCCATTATGTCTTGGGCAGAGCCAATCAACACGCTGCCAATATAGTCAGCCGTTGAACCAATCAGATTCTGTCTGCTCGTGAGGGCAGCTGTGCGTCATTGTTTAGCCGTGTCTGGTCGCCCGCTTGCCTCCAGCACCTCTTTAGCAAGGGGACCGCTTACATTGGCTGTTTTCGCTGCACTCATCCACACGGTCGGTCCGGGCGCCGTGCCGCAGGTTGAAATGAAAATAACCCGGTTTGAAGCCGCAGAGGGTGACTGGCTCCTCGTGGAATGATAAATGGTTTTTGGGGCGTGTGACAATAAAATAACGTATTGTTTAGACATGGTTAGCGCTGCATGCTTTCGCTGATGAATCACACAGGGGTAAGTGCATTACGTTTAGTAAGGACACTGAGAAAAAGGGCGTATGAGAACATTTCACGCGTCAGTGTAATCATTGGAGCAAGGTTAAGAACGCATTTACGAGAAAATTTATAAAGAGTAAGTGTGTATTAGATTTATAATGCCCGTTTGTTTGAATGTACCTTTTTATTTGGGCAGCGGTCAACATAAGGCACCTCGTGACTGTGCGGACACTGAACCATCACAAGTTTGATTGCCTGTACACATTTACAGGTACCACCATTTAGTTGTAGCATTTTCTGCAAAATAGTTTAATTGTAGCAGAGCAATAAATGACACGTAAATTGCAAGTGAGATTGATTTACACGGACTGTGAAATTCGAAGCAGAGGGTAATGCGGAGGGCGATAACCAAACCTCTCCTCACTCCCTTCAAATTTCATTTCATAATGCAGTGGAATCATTTTATGCAATTTTTCTGCCTGCATTTACAGTTGAATGTGGATGCATTCTAGGCGGATTATCATCCAGCACTCCAGCTGGTCAAGCAACCTCATTAATGGGAGCAACACAAGCACTCTCCAGACACCTGTTTCATGGGGATGTACATTCTGGGCGTGTTTCAGGCTCTAAACTAGGATGCATAGGCTTTGAGGGAATAATATCTCTATCGGTCCAGAGCCATCTTCAAATAAAAACGTTTAAGGAGGTGCAACATCAAGTCTACAAGGGCAAAAGGGCAGTAAATTCAATGGATCCTGAGGTAAGCGAAGTGAATTCCACCTATTTTTGAAGATTTATTACAGCGAACACTCATTTCAAGTAAAGAAAAAAGTGGCGAGAAAGGTCAAGGGCATCATTAAAAGGGGAAAAATTTCGCAAATTTTCTTAGAATAGTAGTTAAGTATAGTAGCTTAGCTCAACATCCATCACATCGCTCCTACATAGTGGGCTATAGAATGAGCTCAAAAGTCTTAGTGAAGGTCTCTTCGCTAGCCAAATATGCCCTTCTCCTTTGGCAGCCAAACATCCAAGTCATTGTATGAACTTTAGCCGGTTAGCAGTAGTAAGACACATAACTTGACCCTTTATCACAAGAATTTTTTTTGTCAGTAATACAGTAAAACACACCTCCGATTCAGGGCAATCAAAAAGGTTGTTTGCGATTCGGATTAAACCCTCTCTTCAGGAATTACTCTCATACCTTTAGCATTACTCCATTCTATGCCATAAAATTCCCAAGTGAGAGTGTAAGTTGGAAGTTGGGCACAATTTGATTCTGAGCTATTCAATATCATAGGTGTCGCTGAATTTGATTACTGGCGGAGACTTCTCAGCCCTCCGATTCCATGTGAGCCTCACAGTGAGTCCGCGACGTTAAAGTTGGATCTTGATATGGCCATAACTCGGAAAGTCAACAAAACGAATCATTCTTTAAATAAATGCTCGTCATTTTAAAACAAACAATTCTCTCAGCAGTTTCCAGCTACATAGCTCTTTATTAGTATCTAAGGCACTAACTGACCACAATTTTTGCAAAGCAAATAGGACGCAGACATTACTTTGTATAAGAAGGAGTTCTGATACCTTTGTTTGTGCAACCGGTAGGAAATGTCTAAAGGAGGGGGGAAACACTTCAAATATTGCAAATCCACGTTTTCATCATAGCCACGTTTTCTAGTCCCTGGGCACCACCGCTACAGAAACAGCACTTATGTTATCCGATTCTTCAGTGGATTCGTGGTTAATCTACTGGAACTGTCTCGTCCTCCAACCAACTGTACCGTCAGTTTTGATTCCTCAACCACATAGTTTGGTTTGGGTGAACCCGACCTGTTTCGGGCTTGTCAACTCAGTGAATCCCGTTTCATTCCACTCCAAAGCTGCGGACACTGGCTTCTTATAAAGTTGGCTGCATAGAATTTGCGCAAGCATTCCAAAACGTCCCCACCAGCGTACAATTTTTGGGTCGACGCGTGAATTACCGTCCTGATTAATTAAGAAACTCACTTCCTCCTACATCAGCCAGAAAGGAAAATTCTTGCAGGTTGCTAAGGTGATAGATACAGCATAAATTAACCGACGATAATGCATTTGAAAGACTGTCAGGCCTTCACCTCTTTCGCGCTACGGAAATGTCCCGTCTGTTGATTAGTGAATCAAGGATTCCCTTTGAGATTCCAAGTCAAGTCCAAACCGGTGCTGATTAGCTAGAAACTAATGAAATTACTATTCAAGTGCTTTTAAGTATTGTGTCACCTTACTGTCTCATTTTTGTTGCCAAACACAATTAAGGTGTACATTCCAACCCTGAGTATTGGGTCAAGTATGGTCAAGATATGTTGTCATATTGCCACCTACTTTCTCTTCCTTACAATGAATAGTCTACATAGTAATTTAAAGGTTTCATTTTGTACCCCTTCGGGGACTGTTACGGCTGGCTCGTGGACGTTTCATTACAGCACCGATTACGTTGTGATGAGTGAAGTTAGAAGTATATAAAGGAGAGTAAAGACGGGATTCTTAAAAGGGGAAGTGGGGCTATGTAATAAGTAGGCCGTTTTTGACTCAAATTTGGTAAAGGATTGGCATAGATGAACCCTTAGTGTATAATCTCCGGGTGAGCTGGTGTGAGTCCAACCAGTGGCCCCAATCCCCTCTGTATGTCGACGGTGCATATTCCGCGCAAGCGCTGTGTCTTCTTTTGTCTTTAGAGGAGTCTAGAAGTACTACATTTAGGTGAAAATGTAAATGAAAGGAGTGCCTGCAAATTTTGATATAAGGCACGCGCCTTTTCCCGCCTTTAATTTACCCAACTCTTCCAGATAATTCCTTTTCCAAAAATTCAAACCATTCCCTCATTGTGCAACAATTTATTCATACTTTTTAAATCTAAATAATGTGACAAATCGCATCGGCTATTGTGCATAAGTATGGGGAAGATATCCCTTAATAAGCACCTACATGAAAACCCATGATGGAACGGAGGGCAGGTTGTGTTTCATTTTTGTTAGAATCAGCCTCCAATCAAAAATTTCCCTAGCCGGCCGCATAGTTAGGTCCAGTTTGAATGCCACCACACCGATCCATGCATCTTCCACGGGGAATTTCTGCGTGAAGAGCATTGCCAAAGCAAGTCGTTCCACATGCGCAAAACTAGCCAGAAGGAAATAACCCACAGCGTAGGTCTGGTACGCTGGCCAGGGCACCTCGGTCTTTAGGACGTTCCATTTGGGAATACTAACACCGTCCTCAAAGCGGAAGACACCAGTATTGGTGTAAATTCGTCCATGCAGAAAGGTGGACCTCGTGTGTCGAGGCAGAGAACGCACAACACGAGCTAGATGCTTCACCGAAAAGGGCATATCATCATCTACAAAGAGCATGGTGGGTCTGCTGCGTCGACAGAAAGTGGCAGCCCATGTGAAGGAATAGTGGCTTTTGGTGGTGAGATTGAAGTAGGTGTCCTCATAATCTCCCACAATAAGGTCATCATACTTTAACTTTTCCTCTTCAAACTGAACCGTGATACGACGCAAATCGTTTGGATTGAGAAAATTGCCTCCGCTACTGGTTAGTTGCACTTGATGCTTGCCACGTTGGAAGATGTTGTCTTGCTGACTTCTAGGAATGCCGACAGAGAAGACGAGACCAATTCGTAAGCCTAGCAGTAGTCGACCATTGGTGTTGGTGTAGGGATGGTAAATTCGTCGAAACTCCTGCCTTTGCTGAGAGTTGGCAATGCTCGACTTAACCACCACCACTATGTTGTATCTGTGACTGGATGGAATTTGTGGATGACACACCTCTTTGCTCAGAACCAGGTACCGAAATCGAGGGCCGTTGATTGGTGCCTGAATTAGGAGAATGATAGAAATATTCAACAGGTGCTTGATGTTTAAGATCCGGACACGTTCAGCGAAGGTATTTTTCTAAAACAATCATGGTATTTTGCAATATTTCCATGAATCATTGGTGGTATATGCTTAGATGAGCACTTAACCATGCGCCACTTTATTCTCTCTCTTCCGGTTGCATCTATAACCTCCCTGTCATGCTGTGTGTTACCACCAAACCTTCTTCCGAAGAGTTGAGGCTCTACATTGTTGGCAGCAGCAAATGAACTTGGACCTTAGTGACAAAAATCCCCACTTCCTTGGCAATTTAGTAAATGTAAGCATCACAAAAATGACATTCACCTGTGATGACTGAGCCAGTGACGACCCATAGCGGAGAGACTATTTAAGCCACGTCATCTTTTCGGCAGTCACCCCTATCACGTGATTTGCCGGCAAGCAGTTAATAGTCGGAGGAATGCTGAGTTTTAACGATGGAAAAGGTTCACTATGTATAAAACTACAGTACTGAATAAATATAGGTAGACAATTTGAGCACTTTGATCTTAAGAGTGTATTTAATTAAACCGGCTCTTGAGTCTCCGCATTTGATACCTCCATCTCGGATGTGCTTGTAGCCTAGCAGTTTTACAAGAAGAGCCGAAATCTCATTTAAGAACGCCTTCCTACAAGAAGTCGTGGGTTATTTTATTTTATCCCGAAAAAGCAGTGAAGCATTTTTGATCTTGAAGATGGAGAAAGTGGCGTGATCGAATGCGACTTTCCATGTCAGTGGACTGCTATCCATTCTCTGCAGATTCTGATTCCTTCGCTCTGAGGAAACGTCTAATCAGAGCGGTTTGCCGAATCCTCTCACAGAGTCACTTCAAAGGTCCACGCTAATTCACCATCGTGGCTGTTAGTCTCCTAGTCAAACTAACATGTACATTTAATTTTGATGTACTTCAACATGCCAGCTGACTGTTTAAATCCCGGTTATGGTAACGGGTTACTTTGGACTGTGCCATTGTATCTCTGCCAGGCGGCCTGGCCTCTGGGACATGTCAGTAGCCCCGTGCCCTACTTTTATTCACGATACGTATTCTGCCCTAGCACTATGTCTCCTCTCGTCTTTAGAAAAGTCTCGAGGATTTATAATACTATCTTTGCCCTACTATCACTAATGTAGGGAACGCATTGTGAAGGTGATTTCTTCATGAATATCAGCAACTGACATTGTGACTACTTCGAAGTTTGAGTAGCGGTATACTCAAAGTCAGGAGATACCTTACTACCTGTGCCACCTTTCGCTTCACTACCCATTACTGGGTTCTTGGCTGAGACTGTTAATCAGACACTTCCTTGGGAAATGTTGGAAGAAGAGTCCTGAAAAATATCTTTAAGGACACTTAGAATGGCTGAGAAACGCAATTAACTGGTCAAGCAAAATTTTGTCCTTTTAAAGCTAGATGGTGTATTTTTATGCCTAATTGTCATTTTGTAACACGAGAGCATCCTGTGTGACAAAAAAGCAGCATAATGAGTGCAAATGGAACCGTATTTTTTCCTAGTCAAGTCTCAGAGTTGGAGGACTCATAAACTGATTCGAATGAACATGTAGACGAATAAGTTTGACTAAAGGCAGCGAATCTTAGTAAAAACTGCTCACCTCAGGAATGGGTTCTCTACGCAGAAGCCGATCGACGATGCTGGAGGTATTGAAGGCCTGGGGGTACACCAACTGAACTTTTGGATCAAAGTCGGGCTTCCATCTTTTGTCAGAGATATTCACAAGATCCTCGTAGGTCAGTTGCACCGACTTGGTGCCCTCTTTGAGGACTAGTGTGTCCAGAATAGTAAATTTCGTTAGGTTACTAGCGATGGAGTTGACATCGAATTCTAATAGCAAATCGTGGGGCGGTTCAGAGTTGCGTAAGGTCAGAGGCCAATACGTCTCAGTGGTGAGGGATAAAAACCAGCAGAAGTCTGTTGCGTACTTGTAGAAGACAAGAGTGAATGCAAGTATGCAGATGTAGTGGAAAATTTCGGCGAGATTTTTACACAAGGCGCCATATCTTCCCATTGTCGACCCTGAAGTTTGTGGAGACGCCAGACTTATATTTGAACAACCAGTCATGTGTGCAGGCATGTGCTGAGGTGGAATCAACGAGGCCCATTGGTCAGCGACATCTCAAAGCAAGAATTACAATCGGATGTTTCGATCCCAACATTTTCGCTTGTCACTATTGGTTGAGGCTGGAGGAGGTACGGAAAGCACGAGTTAGCGTCGTCTAGACGAAGGAGTTAGGGAGCGAAACCTTGCTCATGCAAACGAGAAAACAGGAGCATGACAATAACTTCAATGCTAAAATAAAGATGGGTAATGTTGAGTAGTTAGAGAATTCCAGATGAGCGCAGTTGTCGACCGGGAAAATAAAGGCAAATTGTTAAGATTGGTCAGACGGAAAGGTGAGAAAAATGTGAGTAACTGTTGAGCGATTTCTTTGTAGTCCAAAGTAAGTAGGCCAAAGTAATTAAACACTTGAATTTTGTATCATAGCAACAAACGTATATTTCTACTTCAAAGGCTAGGCTAAAATTGTAGTGCCGCAAGACTTCCCTGAGGGTGAAAGGAGACACAATACCTGAGCAGAATATCCATTTTCGACATGCAGAAGGGGTTGGGGCTAATGGCTAGGGCTTTACCAAAATTGAGAGTTAACAAATAGCGCACGTGACACGTGGCCCTTCTTCACATTTGAGATAAGGTGATACATTAACTGACACCATGTGAAAAAAGTATATCCAAATTATTACATTAAAATAGGTGGCACAACGAGCTGGAGGCGTTGATGCTTGTCTGTGGTGTAGCTGGAATGACCCTTTCGAGATTCCCACATCGCCGTGACCCCTTCTTCCCTTACTGTTTTCACTAGACAGGCATTCGAATCTTGGGTGGATGGAAAAGGAAAATGGTTCATGTTAGCTAAATCTTTAACGAAGGTAGGGTTGGTGAAAGCGAACTAATCATGTGTGAGTCTGGCGGTCACTTAAATGCACTCTGGAAACGAATGTATTTTCCGAGACCGTGCTTAATTCACTCAAAACAGGCGAGACGGGAAACGGTGTGGATTATTAGTGCCCCAGAATACGCCGTGAAGTCACGTCAACACCTGTCATCAAGTTGATAGACATGCCACTAGTGGCGAGTGGAGAGGAGAATAAAAGTTTTGCAGAGAGTGAGATCATGCCATATTCCAATGTGGTTTTCATTAATCTTCCTGTGGCTTGTTCTGAGGAGATAAGATGATGATGGAGAGGGATTAAAATGGAATATTAGGAAAGTGCAGAAATGGTCTGCATCCCTGCCGTTTTTTGAGCACCTGATAGGATCGCCTTCTTCCAGTTTCACTTAAGGCTCCAGAGAAGCCTAAATATATGCAGATTGAGGAATGAGGTTGACCACAGACGAATTCTTGAG